CAACAGAAAAGTGGGTGAAGGGAGACATCGGACAGTGTAAGATATGACAAAATAATAATAATTTATAAATTATCAAGGGTTCATGGGGTAGGGGGATAGCGGGGAGGGAGGGGAAAAATGAGGAGCTGATACCAAGGGCTCAAGTAGAAGAAAATGTTTTGAGACTGACGATGGCAACAAATGTGCTTGACACAATGGATGGATGGATGGATTGTGATGGGAGTTGTATGAGCCCACAATAAAATGATTTAAAAAACAAAACAACAACAACAACAAAACTGGTAGAAGAAGACAATAATGGTTTCAGTCTCTCGGATAATGTAATCCCAAGTTTTTGGCTGTCTTAATAACATTTCTCCTAACATATGTTGCATGCTGTAAGTCTGTTGGATTGGCTTCTGTCAGTCAGGCATAGAACTGGTATAGGTCACACCTCGAGCTCAGGTATGCTAAGTAGGATGCATCCAAACAAAACAAAACAAAACGCCCCAACTCACGGCGATTCCAACTCCTAGCATCGGATAACCTCCGCAGCAGGTGTGGCAATCCAAACACAGGGAGCACAGTCAACAGCAAGCGCTCGCATCCTTGGGGGAGAGCAATATAGGGCTCAACTACTAAACTAACCAGGGTCTCTGATAAAACTGTGCCCTTTCCATCAATATGCTTTTTAAAAATTGTTTAACATATTTAGAAGTGAGAAAAAAAGACTGAGCAGTATTGGGGAAGAAGAGAGCAAACCTCCCGTAGATTGCCTTCACTCTCAGGCTGTCTAGTAGTACTTAGCTCAGGGCTCTAAACACACATCCCACAGAAGAAAACAAAGGCCAGGTTTGTCTCTTGCTTTTCCTTCTTAGAAGGGAGAGATTTACAGCCTCAGAAGCCCACGGGGGCACTTCTACTCTGTCCATAGGGTAGACATGAGCTTGAAGCTTTGTAGAAGGCGATTTGGGGACAGATCAGTTGACTCTGCCACTCGGACCCTATAGGACCGCGTGGGACTGCCCCTGTGAGTTTCCGAGACTGTCACTCTTTATGGCCATGGAAAGCCTCACCTTTTTCCTGTGGAGCTGGCTGGTGGTTTCAAACTGCTGACCTTGTGGTTAGCTGTCAACTCCTAACAACGGTACCACCAGGATTCCTATTCTATTACTGCTTAGGTGATACAATCAGTCAAACACAAAACGACGAACCGAAAGGTTGGAGGTTGGATCCCACCCTAAGGTGCTTTGTCATAAGACGAAGCTGGCAATCTGCTTAGGAAAGCCCACCACCAGGGAGACCCTGGTGCGCAGTCCTCCTCTCCATACCTGGAGTTACCACGCTGAGTTTTACTAGCAACCACCACCACTGTGCTCACACAGCTCCCTCGGTGGGCTTCTATTTCTGTGTAAGTGCAGGTGTTTTCTGCCTCAGGGCAAAGGAATTGTCTCCATCCGATATGTTCAGTGCTACTTTAATATCCCCAAACCCACTGCCACCAAATTGATTCTGACCCATGGGGACCCTATCTGGGATTTCTGAGGTCGTCACTGTTTATGAGAGCAGACAGCCTCCTCTTTATCCCTCAGAGCAGCTGGGGGGTTGGAACCACTGACCCTGTGTTTGCAATCCAACCAATGCTTACCTGTCAGCCCGTCAGGGCTCCTTATCATTTGGCCTGCTTGGAGGCACCAGGGAAAAAAGGGATCTGAGTGACTCTACTTGGTAGAAACCATTTTTGGTCACAAAGATCAAGGGCTAGAATAGACGTCCAAGTCTTGTCTATTTGAGACTCTCTTTGGTTTAAGGGCAAAGATCTAGTTACTAGACAGACAAAATAGAGCAGAAACAATAGAGTGCTAAGCTGTCTTGGGAAACTCTTGACTGTAAAGAACTGAGGGAGAGCGGAGTGGAGACCCAAAGCCCATTAGTAGGCCACTGGAGACCCCCTTGCAGAGGGGTCTTGGGGAGGAGATGGGCTGTCAGGGGGCGATGTAGCAACGATGAAAAATACAACTTTCCTCTAGTTCCTAAATGTTTCCTCCCTGCTCCCACTATCATGATATGAATTCTACCTTGTAAGTCTGGCTAGACCAGAGGATGTACACTGGTACAGATAGGAACTGGAAATACAGGGACTCCAGGGCGGATGAGCCCTACAGGACCAGTGGTGTGAGTGGCGATACTGGGAGGGTAGAGGGAGAATGGGTTGGAACGAGGGAACCGATTACAAGGATCTATATGTGACCTCCTCCCTGGGGGACGGACAACCGAAAAGTGGGTGAAGGGAGACGTCGGACGGGGAAAGATATGACAAAATAATTTATAAATTATCAAGGGCTCATGAGGGAGGGGGAGGGGGGGAGGGAGAGGAAAAATGAGGACCTGATGCCGGGGGCTTAAATGGAGGGGAAATGTTTTGAGAATGATGAGGGCAATGAATGTACAAATGCGTTTTACACAATTGATGTATGTATGGATTGTGATAAGAGTTGAATGAGCCCCTAATAAAATGATTTAAAAAAAAGAAAAAAAGAACTGAGGGAGGGCTCTGAGTGGTCTCAACGGACTCCTCATGTGGTTGCCCATTAAAAAACAGACAAAGAACTAGACCCTGCATACTCGGGGTGCGTTTCCACCGGTAAATCTGATGAGATTGGAATTAATGAGTAATTTTCTCTTCAAAAATTGTTTCTAAAGGAGCTTATTACAATGTGAAGTTTCATCATTTGAGCGCGCGCGCGTGCGTGCGTGTGTGTGTGTGTGTGTGTGTGTGTGTGTGTGTGTACCGAATGGTAGAACCTTGAACTATAATGGAATCTGTACTCTTATGTTAGGAGAACTTTGTCTAACTTCCAGAAGATTGTTCCTGCTTTTTGAGTTGTTCTAATAATTCCAACAAAAACAAGAGTCCCCAATGGTGTCTTCTTGTTGGTTTTCTTTTTGGGAATGAGTGCTAGTTTTTAATCCAGGTCGCTGTAACCCTCCCCAGGCATCTGTTTCCTAGGGAGTTTTTGAAATTGAGCATAGCCGAGGGTGCACACACAACACACAAAGCCTAAACATTATTCTTTAATAGAGCTTAATAGGAAGTTGAAAGCAAGCCTTATGTGAACCTATTTCTTGTGAGACGATTGTATTAACAGCACCCTGCTGTGTAATGAACAGTTGCATGCAATTTGCCTCGAAAATGTTTTGTTTAACATCTGTTCAATTAGTGTTTTCATTTCATTAGTGAAGTTTGTCTAGTTAGGACCAACAGGTTCATTTTTCCTATTGAATATTTGGGGATTTCAACGGGAGCCCCCATACCTGCTGTTGAGATAGCCCCTTGACCTATTCCAGAAGACCAAGTTGATGGCCACATGCTCTGCTCATGTTCTAGTGAAAAGACTTCCTCACACACAGCACCTCTTGCACCTGATCCAAAGCAAGGACTTCCCTGTTTAGCACTGAACTTGCTCTTTTGAGTAGGAAATACCACAGTGAGAAAAGATCTCTAGTTTGAACCAGTTTACTGTCATTAAAGTGAGTAATGAGTTAGGAATGTGTGACAATTTAATTATAAATTGTAATTGAAAAGCAGTTGAAGTGGAAAAAAAACAAAGCTAGACAGTAATTAGAAAAGGATTTAGCTCTCCTTTGTTTTAGTTAGTAAATTTATGGACAATTATGGTTGTCGCCCTTTATAAAAGGAAAACATATTAGGAAACATAAAACAGATGTTTCTTTTCACAAAGCAGATTGTCTCTTTATCACCATGACTATTTGTCAATGATATGGGGGCAGGTTCTTGCCTTTATCTCCTTCCTGGTTGTCAATGAGAGAGAGGAGCCATTGACGTCTATGGGAAAAGTGTCATTTGTATTAGCGATAAAGTCTTCCCAGGATGGGTTGTGTTGTCTGACAAACGTTTGAGGCTGCAAAAAGGGACAGACCAGACACCATGAGCTCAAATAGTCACAAGGTGTAAATCCTGATGGGTCCTCTCGGACGCTATCAGTTCCGATTGGGCAGAAGGAGGGCAGAAGGAGGGTCATGACGTACTTGGAAGCGAAGATGCTTCTGTAGGTTTCTTATTGCTTGTGAGACCTGAGTACAGCTCACTGTTATATTAATTGTACAAAGGAAATTTCCTTTGAATCTCCATTGGTCTCCCACTTCTGCTCCTATGCAGGGAACAAAAGCAGTCTTTTGCGAGTATCTGAGAGACAAGGGACCGACAGGCTTGCCTCTGTTCCGCGGCACTAGTGTCCATAGCAGTGACTTCCTGTTTGCTCCCCCCCCAAAGTTTTATTGAAATGGAATTCACCTATCATACACTTCCATAGTTCAGTCATATTTAAAAAGTTGCATATACGTTACCATAATCAGTTCTAAAACACCCCACCACTGCATTCATTACTTGCTCCCCATTTCTCTCCAACCTCCCCGCTGCCCCGAATCCCAGTAAGTTGTCACATCAATTATTGTCTCTATACATCTGCCCCTCCTGTGCTTCCTCAAGTAGGAAACAAAAACAAACAGAAACCCTTAGAAACAGTAAATATATTTTAAAAAGAAACAAAGAAAATAAGACCACCAACAGTATTGAGATACACCAGAGAACAAAACTTCTGTCGAGAAAAAAGCAAGGAATATTTAAAACTAGAACAAATCCAAAATGGGTCAAGAAGGAGATCCAATGATGCGGTATCGCATTATAACATAGTACCATCGGTCATAATCCACTCTACAACAGTCGCTGTCTGACATCAAGGTAATCCCGGTCCTTTGATTGTGGTCAGAGGGGATCCACCAGGGGCTTCATCCACGCAGGGACCCTGCAGATGGATGTAGGGCTCCCACTGTCACCCGTAGCCTTCTGAAAATTGGGTGTTCACAATTGAAGCTCTGCTACTTTCCCTCCTTTGTGTTTGGATTTTGTTATTTGTCCTCTTGGAAGTGACTTCTTCTTTGGCTATGAAAACTTTCTCCTTAGAAAAGAAATCAAAGTATGGAAAGCGAGGAGAAGGGTATGTGAGGGCACTTGAAAATTGAATGAAAAGATCATGGATTTCCCCCCCATACATTTTCCCATGTGTCGCGCGCGGATGACACGGCGCAGCACGGACCGAGACAAGAATGGTCAGGACCCTTCTGGTAGATGCAATCTGCGAAGTTTATTGACGCTGCTTCTGAGCCCGAAGTCAGCTGCGGAAGACTCCAAGCTCCTAAAACCCCGGGTATAAATACCCTGCTCGGTGACGTGTCCTACCAGGATTGGTGCAATTTGATAATGCGTAGCGAGCGGCTGGCAGCGCATGCGCAACAAGCGGGCGGCTGGCAGCGCATGCGCAACAAGCTTGTTTACAGCTTAGCTCTGACGATGCGGGCGTGGTCCGGCGCCATCTTGTAATGGCGTCCACACCCATGCACTCTCATCTATAGCCTGATCTGTACTTACCAGTGATCCTTTTCTGAGTCTCACATTTACAGCCGTAGTGAAAGCTGGCTACGTTGCACATTAACAATTGACGCCTGGCAGTAACAGACTGTGGGGTAGGAGGTGAGAATAATGATGGCTGTGGGGTTCAAGTTATGTATCCACATGACGGGGCCATGTTTCTCGGTGGTTTTCCAGTTATGTAACCATGTAGCCATCCTCCATTGTTGTATAATGCTAATTATACAGATATTTGGAATCTCATCAAAGTGAGGAGCAAGTATATGAAAAACTAGCTCTCTCTCTCTCTCTCTCTATATATATATATATATATACACACACACACATATACATATACATACACATATACATACACACACAATATGTGTGTGTGTGTGTATACGCGTATACTCACATGCAATTATGAATACCCCGAGAACTATAGGATCCCTGGTGGAACAGTGGTTAGGCACTTGGTTGGGCAAAAGACCTAGTGCTCTGTTCCCATAAAGATTAATGACAAGAAGATCCTATGGGGGCAGTGCTGCTATGTCACATGGGGTCACCCCACGTCAGCATTAACAGAAGTTAACAATGACAATACAATGTGCTTGTGTGAGGGATCCTGCCTGCCTTTGCCTACACATACAAATCCTCTATGGCTAGAACCCCCAAAGGGTGTGAGGAAATACAATTTTGACAAAAGGCACCATATTTTAAATGTGCCGTGGACTATATGAAGATCATTATTTAGAAAAGCCATTACCTCCCAAATATCTGCTTGATCTGTTGGGATTTTCCTAGTTTATAGCTATTATGGAAATAAGACACAGCTGTCGGAGCAAGGTGGGGAGGGCATGGGGGTGGGTGGCGGTGGTCCTCAGATGGTCACACCCACAACGCAATGACAGTCCATCACTTCTCCAGGCGGCACTCCACAAAGAAGATCGTATGCCCCTTTCCTCACAGACATTTTTGTCCATTTCTTCGTGTGAACTAGGTTTTTGACTGTCATTTCCTTCCTAACGAAGTCAAGTATGTCCACAACGGCTGCCCTATTCTGGATGAAGATGCCGTGAAGCTCCGACTTTACAGGTAAGACACCTAGCAATGCCGCTTAGCCTTTGCCAGAGAACCATTCTGTGGACTTCCTGGGTGGGGGGGTGGGGGGGGTTCTGCGTGTGGACGAGTATTATCCACATGGGGGCACGGCTGGATTCCAGACCAGAAAGCGCTCCGTGGAAACGGAGCCCTGACCATGTGAAGCAAGTACCGCAGCCACCTTTCAAGGATCGCCACGTGTGCCATCTCTCTTGGGCTCTTCTGTAGTGGGTTATTGTGCTTGCCCAGGTGTCTCTGGTGTTCTGGTCCTCAATCAGGTTCTGGAAATAAACAAAGACAATGGCTGCAAAGAAAGCAGGGGTGGCTCCTTGATGGCACTCTCGCTTTCATGTGGGAGACCTGGGTTCGATTCCCACCCAACTCATCTCAAGTATAGTCACCACACCCCGGTCAGCGGAGGTTTGTGGGCTGCGTGGTGCTAACCAGGTTTCAGTGGAGCTGCGGGCTAAGGCGTACCAAGAAGAGGGGCCTAGCCATCCACTTCCAAAATATTGACTAATGGAAACCCAAGGGATGATAGTGGTTGGATGCCAGTGCATGTGGTGATCGTGAGTCGGGGGCCAGGGATTGAAGACAGCTAACAACCATAACAATGGTTATGTAACCTGTGAATAAATCAGGGCATTGTACACTTTCAGAGAGGGTCCTGTCTATGAGTTGGAACTCAATACAAATGTTAATTATAAACAAGTTCATGGCGATGGTCTTGAAGCATAGACTCCATAGAAACAACAGAGAACTCAGTGTGGGGCTGAGTTAGACCTTCATATAGTCCCCTCCCTGCCCTGCACCCCCTCCCAACTTTTTGTTGTTGTTGTTGTTAATCATTTTATTAGGGGCTCATACAACTCTTATCACAATCCATACACACATCAATTGTGTAAAGCGCATTTGTACATTCATTGCCCTCATCATTCTCAAAACATTTCCTCTCCACTTAAGCCCCCGGCATTAGGTCCTCATTTTCCCCTTCCCTCCCCGCTCCCCCCTCCCTCATGAGCCCTTGATAGTTTATAAATTGTTATTTTGTCATATCTTGCCCTGTCCGACGTCTCCCTTCACCCACTTTTCGGTTGTCCGTCCCCCAGGGAGGAGGTCACATATAGTTCCTTGTCATCGGTCAAATCTTTGGCTGCAATACCTCAGTGTGAATTGCTCTCAGGGAGTACACCAGTGAAAACAACTTTGGCCGAAGACGTTGGAGCAGTGGGTCATTCTCGGAACATTCCAGATGATGGACTGTGGGGCGGGCATAGGGAACTGAGCATAGGAAACAAAAGCATTGAGGAGACATAGACTCTTCTCGGTGGTCACAGTAAAAGGGGAAACAAATGCGTGGGTCATTATGATGCCCAGTGACAAGTTCCAAAAGAGAGGCATAGATGAGGTGCTGTGCTGGACGCAGGGCATGGCCCCTGTGTCACTTTCCTGGAGCAGACCCACGCTAGGTGGTTGAAACAGCAGCAACGATTCTCTTGTCATTCTGGAGGCTGTAAATCAAAAAACAAGGTGTGTCGCAGGATTGGCTGCTTTTGTTGACTCCGAGGGAGGTCTAGTGCTAGTTCACCCCTCCCTCCTCCCTTCAGGCGGTGGCCTGCAGTCCTTGGCTACCTTGGTTTGTAGACTGAGCACTCCATTCTTTTCCTCCCCATTTCACGGTGTTCTCTTCGGTGTGGACCTGTGTGTCTGGGCACCAAATTCCCTCTGCTCACGAGGATACTAGTCAGTCCTTGGACAACAGGCAACCCTATTTCAGTCTGACCTCATCTTCACTTGATATTTATTATGGCTCAGAATCGCCGTGATAGCAGGTGGCGCTAGGGACCGAGACTTTATTTCCTCAAAGTGAATGGGGGTGAGGGGCGCGTGGAGTGGAGACCCAAAGCCCATCGGTGGGCAGTTGGACATCCTCTCACAGAAGGGTCACAAGGAAGAGATGAGGCAGTCAGGGTGCAGCATAGCACCGATGAAACACACAACTTTTCTCTAATTCAGTGGTTCTCAACCTGTGGGTCCTGACCCCTTTGGGGGTGGAACGGCCCTTTCACAGGCGTCGCCCGATTCATAACAGTAGCAAAATGACAGTTATGAAGTAACAATGAAAATAACTTTATGGTTGGGGGTCACCACAACAGGAAGAACTGTTTTAAAGGGTCGCAGCATTAGGAAGGCTGAGAACCACAGCTTTAGTTCTTTAATGCTTCCTTCCCCCCACTATCATGACCTCAATTCTACCTTACAAATCAGATTAGACCAGAACATGCACAGTGCTACAGATAAGAGCCCACAACACTGGGAATCCAGGATAGAGAAACCCCCCAGGGTCAACAATGAGAATAGAGATACCGGGAGGATAAGGGGTGCGGAGGTAGGGGGAGAAAGGGGGACTCGATCACAAAGATCAACATTTAACCCCCTCCCAGGGGGACAAACAACAGAAAAGTGGGTGAAGAGCAACAAGGACGATGTAAGATAGGAAAATAATAATCTATAAGTTATCAAGTGTTCATGAGGGAAGGAGGGGGGAAATGAGGAGCTGATACCAAGGGCTCAAGTAAGAAAATGCTTTGAAAATGATGATGGCAGCATATGTACGATGTGCTTGACACAATGGATGAATGTATGGAATGTGAAGGGAGACGTAAGAGCCACCAATAAAGTATTTAATAATAATAATAACAATAAGACTTTATTTCAAAGAAGGTCACCCTCACTGGAACTTGGGATGAGGACTTGAACATTGGTTTGACAGTGGGCTCAGTTCAACCTGTCCGGGCATCCAAGGCATGCTCTTTCCTCGGTCTTTCCTGGGTTGTCCAGTTAACAATCAAGCTGACATCAAAGAGCCTGCCTGTGCAGAAACAGCCCGGAAGGGAAGGAAAAGCGGGTGGGTTTGGGTTGCTCCCCTTCTTCCTTGAGGTGGAGAGGGTGGGTTGAGGAGCATGCGTTAAAGGCAGATCAGGGGTTCGGTCATGACTCTTCATCTTGAGGACATTGTAAAAACAGAGCATTCAGAGGAGTTGGCGAGAGATGATCAGAGTCTGTTGATTGCCCGTGTATCTCTGTTCCAGCTTCTTGGGCAAGCTACTTGCCCTCTTGCTGCCTTTTTCCTCTCTAAAATGGGAGACACAGCGCCTCCCCTCGGTTCTTGTGAGGGTTGAATGAGATACTGTTTGTCAAGAATTAGCTCAACTCTTAAGCTGCGAAAAGAGCTCATCCATTGGGAGCGCCCTGTTGGTGCATTGTTGATCGGTTGTCCCTCTTTACAATGAAGGACAGGCATCTCTGTCACCTTGGAAACTACCTTGGCTCTGGCGTCCCACTGCGGCAGCCGCCAGGGGATCACGCACAGGAAGAATGGTGAGGATGCATGGGACAGGCAGTGTTTCCTTCTGCGGTGCACAGGGTTGCTACCGATCAGAACCGACTTGCCGGCACTAACAGCAACCACAAGGAGGGAAGGAACAATGCCGAACACCCCGTTTGTGCCAAGAACCAATAAGACATCCCAAGCGGGCTTTGAATGTCCACTCGTGGCATGGTGTTTCCCAAGAACCCAAGGGCTCTGTGTAGAATCGCACCCACGTGGGACTCTGCACTCTGAGTAGTCACTCAATCCGCATCTGGATGATCGGTTAGAGAGTAGGTATTGACAGGTGACTGGAGGGAGAGGTGTAGAAGATGGAGTTGTCACCAAGGTCAAAGGAAAGGAGGGACAAGGCAGAGAGAGGTGGGAGCTGAGTATGAAACAAAACCCCAAATCCACATATTTTGTTCAGGCCGCTTCTTCACCTTTGGGCCAGGGACACAGCTATCTGAAGAATTTGAGTACCCACAAACCTTGCCTTTGCTCCGTTTTCTCCCCAGGTTTACTGAAACAGACACCTTCACGGAAACCTTTGTCCTGCGGGTCTATCTGCGGGAACCAGACTGTAACATCATCCGCATGAGCCCCAATGTGCTGGAGGTGTCCGAATTCTATGGGCTGTCCCGGGCCATTGATAAGAACGTGCTCAGCTTCGATTATGGTGGGGCGGCTAACCTGGAGTGCACCGTCAGCCTGGCCCCTGTGGGCACCTGGCTGCCTGCCCACGGTCAGATGGTCCTGGTGGAGCCTGGGCCAGAAGAACCCCGTGGAGATCAGCCCCACAGCTTTTTCCCTGAGACGCGTATGATATGTTTTCATTATTATCTGGATGCAACTAATCAGACAAGACTAACTACGAGTCAGCACCTTCCACCTCGACAAACAGTTTAGTTAATGACTAGGTGGGACTTTTAGCTAATTGAAAACATGTCATATGGTGGGCGACTGTGTAGAGACTGAGCTCCGAGTCCTGGGATTAAAGGCGGCCCCTGCGGTTTGTTCTCTGCATTAGACGAGGCAGTGACGGACCCTGTCAAAGTCTCTGTGAAATCGGTTGGTAGATGGGAGTCAGTGAGATGACGCATACAAAGTGCCTCATGGGACAGGCTCCGTAATTGTGGGCTGTGCCTGTTAGGAGTGAGGAGCCATGGTGGTACCCCGGTTAAGCACTCCGCTGCTCACTGAAGGCCTTTGGGAGGGACAATCTGGAGATTTCTCCCATAAAGATTAGAGCCCAGGAAAGTCTGTGGGGCAGTTCGAGTCTGTCTTACAGCACTGCTGTGAATCCATATTGACGTGAAGGCACACCAGAGCAATATTGTTATTAGCAATATGTCCCTGGGTGCCGTGCGTGGTTTGTGATCAGTGGCCAACTAAAGGTTGGTGGCTCAAACACAAGCAGTGGCACCATGGGAGAATGTTTGGGAAAGCTGCTTGTGTAAAGATTACAGCCTCGGAGACCCGCTGTGGTCATTGTTCTTTGTCCTGTAGGGTCCAGGTGAGTTGGAGTTGACCGTGAACAGACACAACACCACATATGCATAGGCGTGTTCTATGTACTGTGGACCAGACCAAGAGCTATAAGGGTGAATCATAGTGATGATCCCTTGAATGTGGACAGCAGTTTAGAGCTAAACACACACTCGCCCCTAGCTCTTCTCATTCAGTTCCCACAACCATCTGCTTACGAAGCAAACTATCTATCCTGAACACCAGAGAAATGAGACTCAATGAGTCAGTGACCCGGAAACATCGTGTATCCCACAAGGGTGAAAAATTGGGTTGGGAAAGATGGTTGTGGTTTTCAGTGGACAGAAACGAGCAGGCCAGTTCAGGTTTTCAAAACATATGTAAGGGGAGGTTCTGTTGGAAGAATAACAGGGCCTGGCAGGAACTGTAGGATTTGAATGTGTGACGAGCAGCGTGGGGAAAGAATGTCAGTGAGTTGAAATAGCAGAGATTGTCTGATGGCACCCTGAAAGCTGATGGTGGGAAGGAATTAAGATCATGGATACTTTAGTGAGTTGCTGACCTATAGTCCAGCAGTGTCCAACCACCAAAGACACATCCTATTATTTTTTCTCACTGTGATTTCTGGTAGCCAAAGGGACTGGTGAGACCACTGGTCAACTGTTCTTTTCTGTGGTATGTAATGACAAGCTTTTATGAAAACCCCCCCAGTGACTCATGGCAGGGTACAAATGAGTATTTGCGGGGGTTGAGAGAGGAACAAGTATCCATCGGAGGGAGGATTTGTTTTAAAACTTAACCATCTTTATGTTCCCATGACTGTCTTAACCCAATGCTGTGCTTTCTAGACCTGGGAACAGAACTGAGGTGTCCAGGTGGAAGCTGTCCAGTCCGAGTGAAGAAAGTAGGAAGTCTCAAAGTGAGCTGTGAGGAGTTCCTGCTGATGGGGCTTCGCTATCAACACCTGGATCCCCCTTCACCCAACATTGATTACATCTCCATCCAGCTGCACCTCACAGACAGCAGGAGTAAAATCATATACAAGGTAGAGCTTGGGGTTCTGTGTCTGTGTTCCCAGTGGATCCACAAGCAAGAGATCCAATTCCAGGGGTGCTCATGTTGGCTTCCCTGCCTGGGGGAGGTTCCGTTTCCTATGGTGGGTGGGACTGCTTCTGGATTTAGTCGAACATTACGGGCCCGTTCCACCACTAGGTCCTTAAAATGGCAGCTTTTATCTATGATGTTAGCATTAAATGACCCTTCTCTGACCCCGTTCTAGTCCTAAGATAACTAAGACAACTTGGGAAGGCCGGGGGCTGGTTCTAGTTCAACCCTCTTCTTTCTTTACCTTCAGCATTCTTCAGCTTGGCATCGGACCTGCTGCAACATTTTTTTTTCTGTAACGCGTCTTTCCCCACTTTGGCCCTCAGAACGTATTGGAGAAAATTAGGGAGTTCACCCACCCCCTCTGCAAGACGAGGGGCGGTTTGCAGGATGTTTTCAGTCCGGCCGTGGTAGTTGTCGTGGACAATAAGAGTGTCTCGTTTACACTCTTCCAGACCTTGCGATGGAGAGTTGATCATTGGGAAAACATGCAAAATACACCTCTGCATCCCAATGCCCCTTCTTTAAAGAGCATTTCATTTCTTTTTGGTGGCACTATACAGCCGTACACACATTTCTTCACCATTTCTACACCAACGGTTTGGCACCATGGGTTACATACTGCACGCTGTGCCAGGCTCCCATCGCATCACCACGCATCGAGGCTCTGCTCCTACAAGTTCTCATCTGGGTTTTAGATGAACTGTTGTCAATGTGAACTCACATCCATTCTTCCACGTTTGCACGTCCATGTTTAGCTTGACAATGGCATCACAGGACAGTTTGGGATCAAGGGTACACATGACTTCTGGGCATTCGATTTGAGGTTTTCCTACAGGATCAGTGGATCTTTCATTTCTTTTCAAGCATCCTGCCAGTTCTTCTCCTTGCTGTCTTCCCATCGAAATGGTGACATAAAGTAGGGTCAATGTGCATGACATTGTAAGTATGGACTCCACTAATTCACGCAGCAGATTCTTTGGGCACTGGGGAGAACGGAGAAAGAGTGCACCTGGGGAAAGAACTCAGACTTTGTGCAGGTAGAAGATGGTCTGAGATGACGTTCAGTGAGAGATTGTCAGCCTGGCCTCTTGCTAGTGTTTCTGCTAAGAGATCCAGTCAACTACCGAACATTACCCCAAGGAATTGATAAAATAAAGTATGATAAAACAGGATTTCAGAATTTTAGAATTGAGATCTGGAAAGGTCTTAGAGAAATGGATCAGATAGATCACTTGGGGGAGGCCTAAAAGCAATGCTCCCCAAAGTGGGCAATACCATCCCCTAGGAGTGCGGGGATGATCCCAGGGGCTGCAAAAGCAGATACCTACATTTTATCCTGGATTGTGGGCTATAGAACATACGTTTTTTTATTGCTAGATGGGTGCTGAGTAATTTTTTTTCTGAAAAGGGGGTGGTAGGGCAAATAAGTTTGGGCAGAAACCTATGTTTTGAAGGGTCTACTTCCATCTGTAAGGTAATCGTTACAGGATTAACACTGGGCCTAGATAGGCTGGGCTCAAACCTCTAACTATTTGCATGACCTTGAGCTTTATGCTTCATTTCCCCCATCTTACAATAGTACATATTTCTCTATTCAATGTGATGGCTCTTATAAAGCAGGTTGCACAACGCCTGGTGCACAGTAAACACTGCATGTTTTGATTGTGATTAGCCAGCCTTGAAAATAATTGGTTTAGATCAAGCCTCTTAGTTTGTATTATAGTACTGACCCAGGGAGATAAAATACTTTTTCCATATGCTTATGGCTCTTTTCTGGCTGAGCCAAGACCTGAAATTTCATTCTTTGGTCTACTAGCCTTGACTCTTTTTTTTTTTTTTTTTACTCTATTTGTCTCCATAACAAAATCAGAACCATTTTTCTTCCTGAATAATTTAAAAATTCTTTTTCCTTTTTTAAGAGTTTAGGAATTTCTTTTATTTGTGATTGTATGTCACTTTTACTGAGAGGGTACCCATTAAAATTACTGTATTACTTTATTTAGCATTAACTTATTCAATAGTCATTCTGGCAAGTCATAAATTATACTATTTTGTGAATATATAAGAAATATACTCATTGTAGAGAATAGTTTAAAAACACAAAAAGATATAAAAGAAGAAAATAAAACTAGCTGTATTCCTGCCATTAATTTTCACACACACACACACACAGTGGGGAGATATTCACACCAGAATTGGTTTTGTATTATGGAATTGAAGTCATATTATATATGAAATTTTGTATCTTCATTATTTTTATGCTTGTACAATCTACCATGGAAAGTGACTATTCTTCTATAATTTCTTCCAGGTTTGGAAAAACTTCATTTACACTTGCCTGTGGAGCCCATCTGAAATGGTTTTTATTATATGGTGCAATTCAGGAAACAGTCTTTTGTCCTTGTTTTTGTTTCTTTTACAAAATTTTAATGCAGTTATTGAATAATTCATGTGTCTCACGGATTTCCCATGATTAATTCTCATGTATTGAATAGCAAGACCTTATGCCTGCTCTTTCACGGCTGGCTCTTTTCTGTCTTCGAATCACCTACTTAGGGAACAATACCCTATTGTAATTAGTAAAGGTCGGCAATACACTTTATTATCACGGATACAGCCTTCCTTTCCCTCTACAAAGTTTCTGTCATTCTGCCTTAGTCATCGCTCCAGACAAATAATGACATGTCATCCATGTCAGCTCCAAAACAAAAGCCCCTAAAGGTTTTTATCAAGATCGAATTAAAATTGTAAGAGATTTTTGGGAGGGTTGGACTATTAGACCGTTTGCTATATCGAGGCTCCAAGCATCCTGGTCTTGCTTGTCATCGAGGCGAATTGTTCTTTCATATGTTTCCAGATGTAAATGTGGAAGTTTCCTTCATGGAAATCAAACACACGTGTTCAGCTCCCTTGTAGGCAGTTTGTTTTGTGCAACTATTGTGACTGGGAAGCTACCCTCCCTCATGAGTTATTTATCATAAATAGAAATGCTATTTTTGGTGTCATTTCCTTTTATCTGGCTTCTTTTCTGAATTCAATTATTCTAGGAATTTTTTGGTCCTTTAGGTTTTTAAAGAACCTAATTATATCTTTCATTAGCGATGATCATTTTGTCATTTTCTTTTCAGTAACTACTCTTCTTACTTGTGTTCTATTCCCCACTGGTTCCGCCAGAACAATATTAAATGGAACGATGTTTATAAGCATACTTGTATATTTTATTAATATCAACGACTTGACATTATCTTTTAAAGATACTTTTCTTACCCTAAATTCATCTGTGTTGTAAAACAATATTGTTCCTCTTGCTTCTGTTCTTTAGAAGATAAATTCTAGCCATTCTTTTATTCTCCATCCTTTCTGGCCATTTCACTTTAAGTGCATTCCCTATAACACATATATAATCATATAATCGGATATTTTCATTTTTCAGAATATTTGCCTTACGTAAGTTAACATACACTATGTTTGTTGTAATCATTGATAGCTTTCTGTCTATAGTCATGTCTTAGGCTTTCTTGATATTAAAAAGAAAACATTTTTACCCGCAAAATCATTTTTGCCTTTATCTTTAGTTGTTGAAACTATTTTATGTTTCACTAACATTTTCCTTGAATTTTATGAAAAATGAAATAAATTCTTTCACCTTTGTTTTTTTAACTCTTTAAAGGAAATACGTGAGGCGGGTTAGCTCTGTTCCCCCCTACAAGTGATAAGCATCGAGTCAGTTTATTCTCTCACCTCCCAGTCTTTTTTATACAATTTGTCATTCAGTTTTAGAATATGGCTGTGATGTGCTCTTTCTTACGGAATCTACTTTTTCTTCCCAGCACACATTTCCGACATTTGCAGTCATGTGGTTGTTGTTGGGTACCATCGGAGCAGTTCTTTCTCACAGCAACTCTGTGGAGAACAGAAGCAAGCCATCCCTTGGCCCTGCCCCTCTCCCAGTCATCCTGTGTTAGCTTATTGTGGCGGCCATGGGTTCATCTGTCTCCGTGGCCATTGGGTTCATCTGGCTCCTTGAGGGCTTTCTCCAGGGACGGCCCTCCTGATGACCTGCCCAAAGTACTCATGATGCACTCTGGCATTCCTTGCTTCTAAGGGACATTCTGGCTGTACTTCTTCCAGGACAGATTTGTTTGTTCTTTAGAAGTCCATGGTCCGTTTACTATTCTCTGCCGACATGATCATTCAAAGGTGTCCGTTGTTCTCTGGGTTTCCTTATTTATTCCTTGCTCAACGTTCACATTCATCGGAGACTTGGGCGAGGTGCACCTCCGTCTTCAGGGTGCTGCTTTTGCATTTCTGCACCTGAAAGAGGTCGTTTGCAGCAGCTGTGCCAGCACATTGTTTATTTAAGCTTGGCTGGAGGACCAACTGGTCTCGGTGTTCAGCACCAGCACTATATACCCTGCTTTTCCCATGGTCAAATTTTCAAATTATGCATCTTCGGATAATTTTTTAAAATAGTACATGGAATAGTAGTAGTAGTTGTGGTTAGATGCCATCGAGTCAGTTCCACTTCATAGTGACCCCTATGCACAACAGAAGGGGACACTGCCTGGTCCTTGGCCATCCTGGAAATTGTTCTGAAACTTGAACCCATTGTTGCAGCAACTGTGTCCCTCCATCTCACTGAGGGCCTCCCTCTCATTCACTGGCCTCTGCTTTACCAAGCACAACGTCCTGATGCATAGCTCTGAATCACGTGGAGAGGATCCTCAAAACCTGGGAAGTCTCAGAACATCATTCGTCTTTGTGAACGATGCAGCCAGCAGGCAGGGGAAGGATTTGACAGTCTTCTCTACTTTCGACTCACCCTTCTCTCCTTACTGGTTCTGAACATCCAGGGATGGGCAGGAGGGGGCGCTGTTGGGCTGCTAACCACGAGGCCAGCAGTTCAAAACACAGGAGCTTCTCTGAGGGAGAAAGATGAGGCTTTCTGCTCCCAACCAGTTTTACAGCCGTGGAAACCCTGGGAAGCAGTTCTTCTCCGTTGTGTAGGGTTGTTGACTCGCCGGCAGTGGGTTTGATTTGGATTGCTAACATCCGTTAGTTTCTGGTTTTGTTTTCTTTGAAAATGCTATTCGCCGTCTTAGAAGCATCGAAAGGCACCTCACGGTGGTTTTCAGTTTCTTCGCTGTGAGAGCTTGAACACGGTTCAAGTGTCTGGTGGCCATTTGAATATCCGCTTGGTTGTCGTGTCTAGTCAAGCCCTTTGCCCATTTGGTGATGTTGTTATTTGTCTAGTTGTTGTTGTCAAAGTTCTGTACAGTTTGGTCTTTAGCGGCATCTACAGCTGTAATTGGATTGACCGAATGGCTACTACAGAGCTCAAAGAGCGGCATGGTGAGGATGGTGGGACCAGGCAGTGCTTCCCTCTGGTCAACACAGGCTTGCTGTGCGTCCGAACCACCCTGCACCTAATACCAGCGGCTCCAAGGAGGCTTCCTCCCACAACACTGCAAGATATTCCCCGATGCAGTGCGCCTCCTTGGGCCCGCATCACTCACTTCTGCTTGTGTGGTTTTAAAGGGGCCAGCGCATGAGCGAGTAAGGTAACTGCCATTCAGCAGAAGGCGGCTTGATTGCTCCGGACTCTAGTTGGGTCTCGCCCTGGATCTCGAAGCTAGGCGCAGGCAGTGAGAGTGGACCAGGTTCGCTCCCTCCCTGCCTTCGGTGAAGGCATGCTGTCACTGATGCGGATGTCCACTTCGGTGAATTGTCTTCAGTCTCTGTGGATAGGCCCATTTTCGGTTTGGCTGTCATTCCTGATTGATACAAGGGGTTTGAAAGAGAAGCGTAGAGAGATGGAATGGACAGATCATGGAGTTTTCCAGACATTGTGGAGCTCCTTCATCATGCAGGTTGGAACACAGGTCCATTGTGTCCTTGTAGAACTGCACACGCATTGCCTGTCTGCGGTGGACCCAGACATTGCTAAAGTGTGTTTAATCAGCAATCTTATTTAATTCTCACTTGATACTTGTTACATTTCTGGAGCTGGATACCTCCGTTCTTGCTTCGCAACGCTGAAAGAATTCATGTGGCAGAAGCAATTTTATAATCCAAGTAACTTTTATGAGGGAAATTAAAGTTTCAGTAGTACAGCCTCCAAATGAAGTACACGCAGCTTCTGGGACGCGTACAAGCAGGAGTTCGCTATAGAACATTTAAAAAGATGCAGGAGCACAAAACCTGTGGGGAAGCAGGAATCCCCAGAGGCCAAGAGCAAGAGGGCCCCTGTGCGGGCACGGGTGGGTAACCACACGCAGGAAGAAGCGCACCCTCAGGTGTGCTATCTCCTGGGCTGGGGAGGCGTGGTTGAGGGTTTGGGCAGACCTCATTGGCTGAGTTTAAGCGCATCTGCGTGATGTCATATTGCTGGTGCCTAAGGTGGGAGTGCCCAGGTTGGCTTCCACCTGGGCCTAGATGGCTTGTGTCTGAGCATGCTCAGTTCTGGAATTTCCCGTAGGCGTCTAATTAGTGTGCCTGATTTCTTTCTAACTCCCTTTATTGTGACATGGACAGCTAATTTTCGTTTAGCGTAGGCATTTGGGAAGACAACCCCGCTTTGTCCCTATTCTAACTACCTAGTATTCTCGTTTTTCAGAAGAGAGAAAAATAAATGAGACTTGGAAGTTAAGTCATCCTCACACAAGTCTTAAGTGCTGGAGAAAGAATAATAAGCATAAGTACCTCAGATGGCAACATTTGTGCCTGTTCTAGACCTGGCTATGTCTTGGAAGTCACTGGGAGAGTACCGGAATTTCTACTCCCTTAAAGAGTTACAGTCTCAGAAACTCACAGAGGCAGGTGTGCTCCATCGTATAGAGTCTCTGTGAGTCAGCTTTACTCAAAGCAGTGAGTTTTGGGTACTTTAAAAGGTGCTCATTTTCTGTTCCTCCTTGGATCGTTACATTAGGATCTCTGGAGGTGGAGCTTAGCGCCAGTCTGTTTTAAAGTCACCCACAGATTCTAATGTGCAGCCAGATTTCAAATCACTACTGGATAAAACTTACCAGATGAAGAAAGCTGATGGTGTCTGGCTATCAAAAGATTTAGCTTCTGGGGTCTTAAAGGCTTGAAGATAAACAAGTGGCCATCTAGCTGAGAAGCAACAAAGCCCACATGGAAGAAGCACACCAGCCTTTGTGATCATGAGGTGTCGATGGGATCAGGTATCAGGCATCTAAGACTCAGAGCAAAATCATACACAATGTGAAGGAGGGGGCGAGGCATGGGAGAGGAGACGCAATGCCCATCTTTAGACAATTGGACATCCCTTCACAGACGGTCACGGGGAAGAGATGAGCCAGTGAGGGTGCAGTGTAGCACCGATGAAACACACAACTTCCCTCTAGCTCTTTGGTGCTTCCTTCCCCCCACTCTCATGACCTCAATTCTGCCTTAGAAATCGGATTAGACCAGAACATGCACACTGCTACAGATAAGAGATGACAAAACAATAATTTATAAATTATCAAGGGTTCAGAGGGAGGGGGAGGGAGGAGGAAAATGAGGAGCAAATGTTTTGAGAATGATGAGGGTAATGAATGTACAAATGTGCTTTATACAATTGATGTATGTATGGATTGTGATAACAGAAAAGTGGGTGAGGGCCACTGAGGGAAGGGGAAGAAATGGGTAGCTGATATCAGGGGCTCAAGTGGGAAGAGGATGCTTTGAAAATGATGATGGCAGCATATGTGCAAATGTGCTCGACACACTGGATGAATGTATGGATTGTGATAAGAGATGTAAGGGCCCCCAATAAAAGGGGGAAAAAAAACAAAAACAAAACCTACCTGAGGACTGTGTGGCTTTATTAACCCTGTTTATTATAGTTTCATTCAGGCTGTTTCCCTGTCTATTCATCCATTCATTTTTTCGCTCACTCATTCATTCATTCATTCTCTTTCTCCTTCCAAAGTCAGAGAGCGCGTGGCTGCCTGTCCACATCAGAGCTGGCCTTCCGAATCAGATCCCAAGGGCTGCGTTCATGGCCATGTTTATTCTGGAAGTGGACCAGTTCATCCTGACCTCCCTGACCACATCGGCTCTGGACTGCGAAGATGATGAGACCCCCAAGCCCTTGTTGGTGTTCAACATCACGAAGCCCCCACGCCAGGGCTTTGTCACTCACCTGTTGGATCACACCCGACCCATCTCCTCCTTCACCTGGAAAGACCTAAATGACCTGCAGATTGCCTACCAGCCACCAAACAGCAGCCATACGGGGAGGAGAAATTACCAGGTAGCTCAATTGGTATTATGTTAGAGTAATCCAGCCTCTAACAATCTAGTGGGGTCCGTAGGTACAATGGTATGGTTATAATATATAAAGATCATTGTAAAGTCATAGAAGATAGGATAGAGAGTAAAATAAAGGAGTCGGACACATTTCATGGTATCATGCTCACCTCCAGGATGGCCATGATCTTAGCAGCCAGGTCTATGCAGAGGGAGGGAAGAGGAGAGGGCGAATCTTTACTGTCTTGGGGTAATTATAGGTAGCCATAAGCGTTGCATATTCAGTAGTTAATATGTCACAAGGTGGGGGGTAACCACAGTAAAGTCTCTGAGCTCACAGATGAGGAAACCTAATGCCTGCATGGGAGAAGGCATGAGGGCGGATGGGTGCTGCGGTGGGAGAAGATAACAAGAATGTCTGCTTCTATAGGGAGACCGAATCACCCATGTTCTCACTTAAAAGCAGCATAGCTGTTAGGGGAGAATCTGTGGTATTTGAGCAGGATAATGTACTGGGACTTCATCTCTAACTTACCAAAGTGGTGGCTTTCCTAATGTGGAATACTAGCATTCCAGATTCCCTGTCATAAGTTAGGGAATATAGTTCTAGTCATATTTCCCCCAGTTTTAGTTTCCCACAGTATTACAGAGGCATTTGAGTCCTTAGAGTTAATTTGCACATTCATTGTCCCTGAAGGGAATCAAGCTTTGTGAATCGGGATGCAAACCTCAATGCCCCAAGGAGCCCAGCAGGCAATGTCAATAGGCTCACCTGGCTGGAGGAGTACCTGCCACTCAGCCTGGCCTGACTGAGCCCGAGGGAGAATACAGAGACACCTAGTGTGGCCACAGTTTTATTTTTCAAGTCAAGTTGGAAATATGGATTTTTATGTAAAACATTCCAGTGTTGAAATATGAACACCATTCTATGACTGACTCCACTTATACGAAAGATCTAGAATGAGAATGTGGGTAGAGAGCAAAAGGGGGAGGTGATGGAAATGTTGCCAGTGGATCATGCTGCAGAATGTGATGAACATGATAAAGCTCTCTGGATTGTGCCTGTGAAGAATGTTGGAGTGGCAGACGTCTATTGACCACGGTAAACTCAAAACTTACTACCATCGAGTCGATATGGACTCATAGTGACCGTATGGGACAGGGTGGAATTGCCCGGTGGTTTTTTGAGTCTGTAACTCTTCACGGGAGTAGAAAGCCTTGTCTTATGTTGTCAGACTGCAAGGGGTCTGGGACAGCCTGTCACCGTAGCCAAAAACAGAGACCTGGTTGATTTGAGAAATTCTAATTTTATTCCTACCAGCGCATGCAGAAGGAAAACAGCCAGGTCTCTTCACTGAGCTGTTTCAGAGCTCAGACCCGACCCCACAAGTTAATATATAAGAAACAAAATTTTTAAAAATTATTTTACTATCATTAAAGGAGATCAGTAGGTTTTTACAGTGTCACAAGATGCAATCAGTGCTCTAAGAAGGCAGATTCTAGAATGAGCATTAGGAAATGATTGATACCTACATTTCTTTAGGGGCCAATAGATCACCACCCCTGGAAGCTTCAGGGGCCCTTGTATAGCTAAATTGAGGTGATGCTTTGGGTCTGGCTACTTGTCTCACGGACTTCGTTAGCCTCCCTACTAAATTGGAACATCCTGCTGGTTAAAGTGAAAGGGAATTTTTCCCATCAGAGAAGGGACTGCCACATTTTGGATTTTTAACAAAGTAATTTGTTATATTTCTCATCTTTTTTCCCTATCTCATAACCAGAGCAAACAAAAAACATTAAAAGTTGAAAAGTTAGAAAACATTAAAACATACGAACTACGGAGCACTACAATATCATGCCGAGGGGCAACATTAACGCATGGGCTCCCCAGCCGGAGAACTCTGGTGTCTTTGTGCACTACCAGCCGTTGAAGCTCGAGCCGAGCTTTGCTTTATTGGCTAGATTAGACAGACTGGTCCATGATTTGAGGTCTTTCCTTTTTATCAGTCACACGCAGGCTAGGAGATTCCATAGTGTCAATTTTGATAACCAATTTCACAATCAGGCATTTTCCGCCAGGAAGGAAGTTCCTCTTCCTGTCCAACCTAAATCCCTGTAGCTGCAGTTTCAGCGCCTCCCCCTTGTTTCGCGTTGAAGGAGAATGGAAAACAGCTGGTAGCCATCTTGACATAATAACCCTTCACACACTTGAAGACCTACCAGCAAGTTGATTCAAACATGATGGGAAATTTAAATGAGCAGATTGAGACGCACTGGTGTTCAGGTTTATTATGGAAAATGAGTGTCCTGGGCTTACCAAATTGGCCTCCATAGAGTGTAGGCATTTTCAGCCTTTAGCCCCAAGGACACACGGAAGACTTCACACGGCCACGGCTGTCTCTTGCCCTTTGTTTTGCTTTCCCTCATTTAATAGTAATAATCGGCAGCTGTTCTTTCTCGCGTGCCCTGGCCTCTTGTGCCTCCCCAGCTATGACGTAATTTCTCATTATGTGTCCAGACTTGACCCGGGCTCACATGCTTCCTGCATGCGTGTTCTGCCATGGTGTTGTGCTTACCAGAAAATGGACCCAGGCTTTGTTCTGAGGAAAATCCACCTCTCTGCCATGGGGTCTGTTCTGACTCACCGTGATCCTGCCGGGCAGAGAACTGCCCCCGTGGGTTTCTGAGACGTTGAACCCAGACAGGAGCAGCTGGCTTGAGGGTTAGTAGCTCAGTTCTAGCCCAGGCCTCCTTGTGGTTAGAGGGTAAGACCCCGCTTCTCAGGGGAGATTGTGGGCTTTTCAGATTTGTTGGGCTGGAAGCTCCGGGCCTGTTTAGACCTTTGTCAGTGCAGGCCCTGGGCACTTCCAGGACAGGAGGACTACCAGGGGTTCTGAACCCAGCATCTTCCCTGGGCATGGCTCTCAGTGTGTTCTTTCAGGCATTGTGTTAGACAGGGTTCTCTAGAGAGATAAAACCAAATTGCTGATAATTTAATATATTTATTTATAAAGATAATTAGATATATAACAAGGAATGAACTGTTAAATCATATACAGTTAAATATATAATACAAGAAAGAAACAGTTAAATTATAAAGCACTACAAATGGCTCAATTCAACTCACTGCCGTGAGAGAGATGTGAGTGACTAGCAGTCCTTCCAGTCCAGTCTGCTGCCAGATCTTCCTCTATTTATAGAGAGAGCTGGGCTATGTCAGCACAGCAGCCAATCAGAAGGCAGGTCACCAACTGCCAGTCCCCAGCTCCAGCGATGTCTTAAAGGGACCTCAACTTACAGCGACACAGTCCACAGGCTAGGCGTCCCACAGGTAGTGTAGCTTTTAAATTGAAGCACAGGACACGCAAGGCAGCCGCACACTGGTCCGATGATCAAAGAGCGAGAGACAAGAAAGGCGAGACTCACCAAGGCATTTATCTCTCTGCCCTTCAGTTAATCCCACTTGTGTTTATCGGCCAGGCTGGCACAATAAACGATCTCAGGCATTGTTACTGCTTTGGAGAATGCCAACCTGTTTTCTGAGGTAGGACGCTTCCTGGGAATTGAGAAGAAAGTGGCTCGATGAGTGGTACTAACAATCCCCATGGTTCCATCTAATGCACCTCACTCCGCACCTCCTAGAGGACACCCTTCGCCCAGGGTACAGTTTCATTTCTAGTCTGACCTTTTGGCACAACTGATTCTGAGCCTTTGCCTCTTGGGTGCTTGCTGACCAGTGGCTCTTCTGAGGGTTCTCCTCCTCTCCAGTGGGACGTGACGCCTTCAAAAGCAGCCCTTGTGCCCAGTGTTTCTTTATCACACCCCATCCTGCGCTGTCAGCACCTGGCACCCTCTGTGGCACAGAGCCAGTGCTCACCACATCTACTCGCAGAGCCCCCACCTGTTAACTGTGGGTTTCAGGGGAAGGAAGTTAAGCTAGTTATTTGGAAATATCTCTAGAGGGGGAGATCTCACCTGCGTTGCCCTGATGATGTTTTAGAGCAGGTAAGCCTATCTTCTTGAGCAGTGGTTCTCAACCTTTCTCATGCCACGACCCTTTCAGACAGTTTCTCATGTTGTGGTGACCCCCCAACCATACAATTATTTTCATTGCTACTTCATCACTGTCATTTTGCTACTGTTATGAATTGGGTGACCCCAGTTAAAGGGTCATTCAACCCCCAAAGGGGTCGCGACCCACAGGTTGGGAACTACTGCTCCTGAGGCTGTTCCGGGATGGGCATGCCCTGGCAGCCTCTGTGGCCTCTCCATGCCAGGAGCGTCTCTCCTTTCTGGATCTAAGACCAAAAAGGTCTATGGCTTTTGCTAAACGTGGCCCCTAGGGGACCCAAATCAACCCCAGCTTAGAACCACTGCTCTCGACTCTGCATATGGAGAGAACGGTGAGTCCACGCGGGACTGAGACAGCCTCCTGGGCGAAGGAAGGACACATTTGCTAATTCCAGGTTAACACAGGAGGAAAAGAAACGACGGCCCACGAGCGCACTTGATCGAGAGATTGGGCTGCCGAGAGTGAGATGGGGCCCCAGGAGAAACCTGGGTCAGTTTTGCCTTCCATGTGGTGGAGACCCCGGAGTTAATGGTACCTGAACAGTAAGTCGGCGGTGTCTGAGTCATGTCCATCTGTTTGCTTGCAGGTGGAGTTGGAGGTCCACGACTTCTTCTTTGAAAGGAGCGCGCCAATCACAGTGCATCTCTCCATCAGAACAGCAGATACGAACGCCCCACGCGTGTCCTGGAACACAGGTAACGCTCATGAGAGAGCAGCTAACAAATCATTCTCAACATAGCATTGTAGAGAGTTGGTGGATTGTCTGTTTTCCTTAGTGAGGAGTCCTGGTGGCGTAGTGGTGATGGGTTGGTTTGCTAACCGTAAGGTCACCAGTTTGAAACCACCAGCTGCTCCAAGGGAGAAAGATGAGGCGTTCTACGCCTGTAAACGGTTCCGGCCTCGGAAACCCACAGGGGCCTTTCTACCGTGTCCGAGAGGGTCACGACTGGGTCAGACTCCACTCGGTGGCAGTGGGTTTGGTCTTGGGTTTTCCCCTAATGACACACAGAGAGAAATTGAAGCCAGAATTTATGTCCAGGCGCCAACTTCTTTCCTCCGCAGGAGATGTGGAGATTCAATTGAGTGAAGCAAAAACTCTGTGATCTGGAATCTTTGTGCGTAAGAGCAGAAAAGTCTCCACTGTAATCCATTGTCCTAGTTGTCCTTATTTTAAAAATCAATTAAAATACATTTTGGGTGAGGCTGCCACCGGGGGGCGCTGCTCCCCAGTCAACACCACAAAGGAGGGCTCTTGCCTCAGGCTGATTCAGAATTGTCAGGTGAGGCCAATGTTTCCACAGGAGCAAAGGTTTATTAACAGGAAGAAACAGCTGTTTTAGTGGAGACGGGACTGCAGTGGTACCTTTGCCTGCCTGAACAGAAGGAGCATACATTCATTTCCCTGTGCTATGGGTCTTATACATAATTAGTAAAATGCAGGGAAATGGTGAAATTCACCTGGAATGGACTGGACTTTGCAAATAGGGCGTGTCTGCAGTTGTCCTCCAAGATGAATTCCATTACGGGGGATTCTAGGTGGAAACTGTCCGGTGGAAGCCTGTCTTACAGTGACCCTACAGGGCAGAGTAGAGCCACCCCTCTGGGTTTCTAAGAGTGTAAATCTTAACAGGAGTAGAAAGCCTCTCCTCTTTCTCCCATGGCACACCTGGTGGTTTTGAACTTCTGACCTTGCGGTTACAGTGCAGAACCGACTGTGCTAAGAAGATTTACTCTGGGATTGCCTCTGCGTACTCACTTCGCGTTGTTGTGAGTGCCATCGAGTCAGTTCCCACCCATAGCAATCCCACAAACACCGCTGGTCCTGCACCATACCCTCACAACTGTCCCCGTGGCAGCCACTGTGTCCATCCATCTTGTTGAGAACCATCCTCTTTCTTGCTGCCCCTCTGCTTTACCAAGCAGGATGGCCTTCTCCAGGGACTGGTCTCTCCGGACATGTCCCAAGTATGTAAGATGAAGTCTTGCCATCCTTGCTTCTGAGGAGCACTCTGCTGTGTTCTTCTAAGACAGATAGGTTTGTCCTTTGAGCAGACCATGGTATTGGGGGTCACACTGCCAGTCAGGAGGATCATGGAGCTGCCCCAGAGCTGGGCCACTTCTGCTCTGCAGATGCGGGAAGTGCTGCCTGGGGTTTCCCTGGGTGGGACAGCGGTCCTCACAGAGCAGGACCACCCGAAGAAGACTGGCATCGCAGCGATAATGACTGTGGACTTGTAGGAACCTGGCTTCAAGACAAGGGCTGAGGTGGAGGGTCTGCAGTGCCTCTTGCTACCAGTGCTGGATAAACCCTAGACTGACCTGCTTGGTCACCTGGACCGGTGCATGGTCTTTTTTGGCAGCCCTGTGTGGAGGGCCTTGCTGTTTCGGTATGGCTGAATGGCTATTCAGAAGTTGTTTGAAATGCTGCTGTAGCAGCTACTGTTATGATGAAGACTGAGCAGCTTAGCTTTGACAAAGCCTCTGAAGACCTCCAGACTGTCAATCCAGAGGCCAAGGTGAATGAAGGGGTCCAGCGGCAACTGACGTGATACCAAGTAAGGGATTGAAGTGGGTCCTGCTCACACAATTTAGCAGTAATGTCACTTACAAAAATTGCAGAATTTACCCCAGGAAGCTCTTTGCTGTTAATCCAACCACCATTTCACAAGGATTGAAAGATTGCATCCTCTACAAATAGAGAACGTACAGGCGTTCTTTATTTCAAAGTTCTAATATTTTCATATCTTATTGAAGGAAGTGGTCCCGTAGTCTCTGCTCACAAGAGAACACTGAGATAGTTAGTTTATTGTGCCAGCCTGGCCGATACACACATGTGGGATTAATTGAAGGGCAGAGAGATAAATGGCTCGGTCAGCCTCGCCTTTCTTGTCTCTCGCTCTTTGATCATCGGACCAATGTGTGGCAGCCTTGCTTGTTCTGTGCCTCAATTTGCAAGCTACACTACCTGTGGGACACCTAATCTGTGCACTGTGTCGCTGTAATTTGAGGTCCCTTTAAGACTTGCCTTGCCAAAGAATTGGAATGTACATCTCTGGAGCTCGGGACTGATGGTTGGTGACCTGCCTTGCTGTTTGCTGCCTGTGCTGGGACAGCCTGAATCTCTCTTCAGAGGATGACCTGGCAGCCCTCAAAACTTGAAGGACTGCCAGTGTCTCACAACTTTCTCACGGGAGTGAGTTGCACTGAGCCATTTGTACTGCTTTACAATTTAACTGTTCGTTTCTTGTATTATATATTTATCTGTCTGTATATAATTTAACAGTTCATTGCTTGTATTATCTATCTATCTATCTTTATAAGTATATATATAAAATTATCAGCAATCTGGTTTTATCTCTCTAGAGATCCCTGTCTAATACAAACACCACCCTCTTTCAGGCTTACAACAGGAAGTCAGGAACCTGTTACTTCACTGAACCTGTACAATGGATGGAGTCCACTTGGGTGTCAGTGAGAAGTGGGCAGTTTCATTGCCCACTATGCAGTGCCACGTTGGGCTTTTTCACCTGCTATGGTGGACAGTGATTTTGTGATAGACAGATAACACTTGCTTTTCAAATGTATAAGGATAGAGTGGATGGAATGAGAATTTCACCCTATTTTGGCATCACACACACACACACACACAAATCCATAAACATGTGACATTCAATAACTTCAAAAGGAACTAGCTGATAATATGTGCTACCTTTGCATATTGTCATGTATGACAAATCTACTAGTTTTAGGCTATCAGCATTTCATTTGAAATGTGAGAAGATAAAATCACTTGCCTCGACTTGGAAATGATACTTTGTTGTTTAGGTAAAATACTACAGAAAGCAGAACTTTAAATAAAAATCATTTTATTGGGGACTCTTACAGCCCTCATCACCATCCATCCATCCACCCATTGTGTCAAGCACATCTGTACATATGTTGCCATCATCATTCTCAAAACACTTTCTTTTTACTTGAACCCTTGACAACGGCTTCTCATTTTTCCCCACCCTCCCTTCCCTAATGAACCCTTGATAATTTTATAAATTATTATTATTTTCCATGTCTTACACCAACTGCTGTCCCCCTTTACCCACTTTCCTGTTGTTTGTCCCCCTGGGGAGGAGCCTTACATGTTGATCATTGTGATTGGTTCTGCCTTTCTCCCCCCACCTTCTGCCTACCCACCTGGTATTGCTACTCTCATGATTGGTCCTGAGGGGTTTATCTGTCCTGGATTCCCTGTGTTTCAAGCTCTTATCTGTACCAGTGTACATGCTCTGGTGTAGCCAGATTTGTAAGGTAGAATTGGGGTCATGATAGTGGAAGGAGGAGGAGCATTAAAGAACTAGAGGCAAGTTGTATATTTTGTGGGTTCTATACTGCACCCTGACTGGCTCATCTCTTCCTTGTGACCCTTCTGTAAGGGGATGTCCAATTGTCTACAAATAGACTTTGGGTCTCTACTCGGCCCCCCTCCTCCATTCACATCAATATGATTTTTTGTTTGAAAGCAGAACTTTTTAATCATGTTTATTTTATTTCATTGGACATCAGAATCTTCCATACTTCTACATATATAGTTTCCTGCTGTATTTTAAAAAGTTCCAATTTTGAAGATGGACGTTATGTGATCTTAGGGCCTAGCTAGAGAAAACTATATATAAAAATGAGAAATTCTCATGTTTTTATAAATAGTATTTTACTTCTACAAATGCAAAGCAGATTTATTTTACTCTAGTTTTGAAATTTATTTCTCTCACTCTGTTTTTTTTAAAGGAACATTAGTAAATCTTAAATATGTCGATTTTTCTTGAAAATGTTGAAAGGCAATGATAAAATGTGTTTTCTTGGTATTGTTTAGAATTTCAATCATCTAAATTATTTAGAAAAGCATTTTGCGATACCTTTTGAAGTAATCTGCAAAAAGAAATCTATTATTGCAGTGGTGGGATTAAAATAATGTAAAAGCCAAATGATGATGGCAACATATATACAAATATGCTTGATACAATTGATGTGTGGATTGCTATAAGAGCTGTAAGTGTCCACAATAAAATGATATTAAAAAAAAGAAATTTGCTGCCCTAATGGTCGTATTAATAATTTTAAAAATATATACTAAAAGAAAGTTTATTATTCCATACAGTTAATACTTATATAAGAATAATAAAAGAAATATACAACTATATAATGCTATAAGAATTATAAAATATGGATAAAAATATTAACTAATACCTGAAAAAAACAATAAAACTGTTCGTTAAGATATTTCTATCTTGCTTCTTGATTGGCATCCTCACTTACAATATTCCTTGATTTTATCCCAGCATCATCGACTGTGTGATTTATCCTTAGACATCTTTTCACTGTAGGGGTAGGATCCTACCTTTAGAGGGAGGCCAGTTCGATAATAGTCATTGTGTTTGATATATTGGAAACAGGTGACTTCTCTTCTCTGAACATATGTTCATCTTTGAAAAACCCCTTTCTGCTCATATCAATTGTTCTGATAATATTTTTAGCTCCTTGGACACTTTCAGGAATTATGTAATTCACTCATAAAACCTGTGGGGATTTAGGGGGTCACACAAAGCTGAAACGAATGACAGCATGTCACCCTCTGGTTGTTTGGCACTTGTTTGTTTACTGAAGTAATAAACACAAAGGAATAAACATGTGGTGTTTCATCAAAAGTATAACAAGTTTTATGAAATGAACAAATACTACAAGAATAGCTTCGTCTACTTTTTTATACCCATGGGCTAGATGACCATTACTAGAACACGCTGTTGTGCAGATGAACGTTAAAAAAGAGTAAGGAAGTAAATTTGTGATTTCCACTTTGAGCAGCTGTCTGGCTTAGCGAGAACCCTGATCACAAATGCCATTTTAACAACTGGGTTGCCGAACTCAACAAAAATTTAGGTACTGGTTCTGCCTAACAGATATGAACCTGCTCAATCCTACCACTGTATTAATGTGGAGGGGGTGATGGTGGGAATTTGAAGTTCAGTTTGATGGTTTGATCCTTGTTTTGATTGAGATAACCTATTGGGACCTTGATCAGAATGTCCAGTCCTGGTAGTAGTCCTCACCACCCATGCTTTTGTGGTCTCATGGCCTTGGAGGTGGCACTTCATGAGGCCGTTAGACCTACGGTGACTTTCCGTCTCTGATTCTTGGGTCTCCTTCCTTTGCTGCTGCTGATGAGTAAAAATCAATTACATTTTGGACCGCTGCCCTATTTTTAAGTTCAATTCCATAGAAACCATACTATATAAATAAAACTTAAACTGCTTCAGCTATCATCTATCCACCCACATGCCCATCTATCTTCTCTCTCGCTCTCTGCCATTCTCAATGTTAGCGGTCTTTCTTAACCTTAACCAGGAGCAGCTCGAAAGACCGGGCTTTCTAACTCCCAACCTGTGGGGGTGGGTGGGGTGGGGGGTGGCCAGGTGTCCACATTGATTCGATAGCAGTCAGAGAGAAAGATTTTCCTTTCTAGTTTCTAATATCAGTTGCAATCGCTACACAGAAACTCAGCGAAAACCCATGGTGAAAGGGTTTATTACGGAAGCTAACAAATTGTAATGCCAGTGAGAAATACTCAGGGTAGTTGTGAACCAGGCAGTGTGGCAAAGGGTCATGGCTGCTAATAAATGCCCCCCAGGGCCTCTCACTCTGCTGGACGCCTCAACTCCAAAGCATTCAGCTTCAGCTCCATGGGTTAGAAACCCAGCTCCCTGAACTAAGTGCCCAGGGGCATCCCACTTGAGCAAGCCTCAGCCCAGAGGCACTCAGCTCCCCCTCCTGAGTCAGCAAGTCTAGCCTTCCCAGTGAAGTGCCCAGAGGCAGGCCACTCCAGAAGCCAACCTCCTGAACAAAAGCACTCCTCTCAACAGCTCTCTGGGTCGGGAAGTCCATCACTCAGTTCCAGACTCTGGCTCTCGGTTCTGCTTCTGCTCCTCTGCTGGGGGCGCTGCCATCTGGATCCAGCAGGTTCAGGGTGCAGGCATCTCAGGTCCAGAGCACATGCTCCCTCCTGGCTCTCGAGGGTCATGAGGTCCCTCCACCTGCTTCTCAGAGGGCTCATTTTAGCACAGCAGGTGCCACTTCAGGGCCTCCTGTTCTCAGTTACAGGGGAATCCTGTCAGCTTCTCCCCCAAGTCCCCGCCTTCTTACCAGACCCATGCAGGAAACAGTTGTTTGGTGAGAGTTATAGACTTTGGCCAGAAAAGCCGCATTAAATAAGTCACTGCTCCTGCAGGACTCAGACTGCAGTGTTTTTTAGTTTCTTGTCACCGTCTTCAATAGCACGCAGAACACCCTTAGAAGCAATGGTGGTAGGTTCTGTTCCGGGGAAGTTTTCTCAGTGTGTGGTTTAAACCCTCAGTTTTCATTTTAAATGGATCGATGGATGCATGCTTGTATGTCTCTCTGTGTTATTTGTGTCAGGGGAGATGGGGACCTGGGTTGAGCGTCCTGGTTGATCATCCTGACCGTATGTTCCACTGTCCTGCCTTCAGAAGGATGATTAGAGAAAAGAAGGACCTGGCGGCCTAAAAACAAGCAATAATTACATACTCAGTAGCTTAATACTGAAGCATATTTATTCAATAGCATGTCCTGTAACGCCCAGCATTCTTAAGGTAGCACTCTGCTGAGGGCTCCTATTTTGGATTTTGGCAATTTTAGACATCAGAATGCTTTTGGAAGTGCATTTATTTTCTTTTTGTGAAATTAAGGTCTGCCCATGATTGAAAAATGAAAGAGATGAAAATCTTTCATGACTCCACCCCCGTTCATAATTTGCTGTGTACATATAGAGCCCGTTTTTCTAGCTGCTGCTTTTTGTATTCCACCTCTGCATGATGGCTTGTCTCGTCTGTCCCGTGTGCTCATGGCATCAAAGCCTCCTTACCAGTCACAGAGGTTCTTTATAGGCGCCAGTATACTTGGTGCTTCCGTTCTTCCTTGCTTTTTTTTTTTTTTTTAAATAAAACAATAAGTTGCTCCCCTTAGCGCAGGAAAACAACCTAAGCCACATGGTACGTACTAGTCCTACACTGGAAATACAAGTGAGGGAGAAAGGAGAATGAGCGAAAAGGTGGCTAACGGAGCAGGTCGTAACTTCGCTCAGGAATAAAGCTGATGGGGAGCCAGAGGTGAGGTGGGACTAGGTGGACACACACTCCCTCTCAACTCCCTTTCCATTTCTTGTCTCTCACTGATCAAAGTTTGCCTTACTGAGTGTTAAGTCCGCACACATCCAGCTTGTGTAACCAGGCTCCTCTTAGCAGCTGCTGTACCAACAGGATGGCCTTGATCGCATGGGACCTGGCACTAGGCATAAGGGAGGTCATGCCAAAACAGGGGGAACATGCCAAGAGGGCACGTGTTGCACACGGCAGGAAGACAGACTGCCAGACGGAACACTTAGGTGGAAGACAGGGAGCTGGAGCATCATTCAGCCATTCCATTATCCATGAGGCCCGAGAGCCAACAGGCTGTAGGTAATTCTGGAAGGGAATGGTCGTCAGAATGGAGTTACTGGAACTGAAAATTAGATTTCAGTTTCTTGAGAAGCTTTTGGAGAGACTATTTTTTTTTAGATAGCTTCATGAGTAAATGATGTAATCCTTTACACAATAGGCCTGTTGGCATGTCATAGACACTTCCCAACACAGTTCTGTTTTCTCTTATAGGTCTAAATCTCCTGGAGGGGCAGTCGCGGGCCATCACGTGGGGACAGTTTCAGATTGTGGACAACGATGACATTGGTGCCGTCCGTCTAGTCATTGCTGATGGATTGCTACACGGGCGTCTTACTCTAAGAGGTGGATGGTCAGCCTTTGCAACAAAGTTTAAAAAAAATCTAAAAAGTGTTTTCTCCAAAACCAAGTCACACTTCATAGGGTAAACTCGGCATCTCTTGGGTCCCATTTCTAAATGAACTTGTCATACATAGACAATCCGGAGACCCTGAGACCATCAATTTTTAGTCAGGATGCTCAAATGAATAGCTAACCATTTATGAACGAGATTGTGTAGTTGGCTCATCACTTGAATCTCAGTTGTGCTTTCTGAATGCCATGTTAGATCCATCTAAGCCTACTTCTTAACTAATTATCTCCTCCCATTTCCCTCCATTCCTCTGCTTTAAAGAAATGTGATAAAATAGAAGGGATAAAAACCACATTTCTATTTTTCAGTATTTTAGTAATAATTTTGTTAGTTGTCATAGTTACCACAGATTTAAAGAGACGAATCCATAATTATCATCACTGGTTGACAAGGTAATAATAACCAACAACCGACTGAAGCCATTGCCATGAATTCAGTGCCAGCTCCGAGTGGCTCTGTCGGACCGAGTAGAACTGTAAACCATGATGGGAGCAGAGTGCCCCTTTCTTCTCTCGTGGAGCTGCTCCACGGGTCCGAATAGTCATCATTAGGCTGGCAGGCCAGAGCTTAATCACCACTTCCACTCCCAACAAAGTAGTGCCAAACCGAAAAAGAACTGCACCCCCAGTGGGTCGATTACATCTCATAGCAACTGATCAGGGCCGAGGAGTACTAGGTCCGAAGGCTTTAAGTCTTAAGAGAGGCACACTGCCACATCTTTCTCCTGTGCATTGCCTGGTGGGTTCGAACTGCTGACCTTTCTGTTCGCAGTCAAGTGCCTAATGATGGAACCAGCAGGGCTCCTTTTTAAAAACAGGGTAATAGCCCTAATTAATTCATTGTGAACATTGATGATCATATAGTGCATCTATTGGAGCGAGCTCAGGGGATTTAATTCAATTATCCTCTTGGTTTGCCTAAATGCAAAGCAGAAAGAAAGCTCTTCTTTATCATCGTATGTGGCTAGGGAGTTAAAAATAATGTGATGAGCTCATGATAAATCCTTGTGCTTGGAAGTATTGGAGATCAGTGTATGCCAGGATAAATCCATTAGGACTGGTGTTTGAGCAATATATAAGGGAAACTTGATTATTGTGACTTAAAAATGGAATAGTATTACCCTCATGCCAGGTGTTTGCCCTCTGGATGCCCGATGCCAGCAAATTCCTCCCCCCCCCCCTTGCTGGTCATAAGGTGCGTATACTTCCAGACATCTGCCTTTGAGGCAGGAAGACAGAAGAGACCATGAAAATACTCATGCCAATACTGTGTCATGTGGCTTTCCCTGGGTGCATGGAACAAAGGAGTCTGGGAAGCTCAGTGCTGTAAGATTGCCATATTGCCATTCCAAACGAAGCTGCGATTTTGGGAGTGAGGAAGACGCTGAAAGTGCCTTTTGGGCAAGTAACCAGCAGTGCCCATTACACTAACATCTAGTCGTTGATTCTTCCGAGGATTTTGCAGCCATTCTAATATTTTGTGCAAGAAGTGAAGAAATGTTTACTGGTACTGTAGAAATGAAATGAGGAGTGGTAGCCGAATGCTGCGTGGGCTCAGAGGAGGCAGAAAGCACTTCTAACACGTAATAAGCAATTGCTTGTTTTTGCTTTGTGCCAGATGCTTTCTGTCTCCATTACCTCATGCCAGCTTCATGAAGAGAGATGTCGTTAGTATGCTTGTTTTACAAGTGGAGAATCTCAGATTCGAGGCACTAAGCTAACCTATTTAAAGTCATGGGTATAGAAAATGGCAGAGTGGTCTTTGAACCCACGCTGACTGATAGAGCCAAGCTTTTAAACGCTGGCATGGACCAGAATCAGCTGGAGCGCTTGATGAAACAGATCACCAGACTCCCAGTAGAGTTCCTATTTCCGTAGGTTAGGATGGGGCTCAAAAGTGCCCAACTGCGGATGGAAAGGCCTGCTGATCTGCTCCTGTAAAGAGTTCAGCCTAGGAAACCCGGAGTGGCCTGCGCCCTCTGCCCTAGACCTATGACAGGGTCACTGTGAGTGGGGATTGAATAGACTTGCGTTTCGAACAACTTTCCCGCTGGTGTGAATGCTACTGGTGTGAGACCGCAGTGCCGTCATGGAGAAGGAGCATGAGTTCGAGAGTAATCACCCTTACGTGTATGCTTACTGCTGTCAAAGCGCTCACAGCCTCACCATGGAATACGACGTAGGGTCATGCTCTCCATCGGCATTGACTCGGCAGCAGTGAGTTTGGTTTTTTGGTTATTATGCTTTATAGGAGCCTTGGTGGTTAAGTGCTATCTGTTAACCGAAAGATGGTGGTTCAAACCCACCAGCTGTTCTATGGGAGGAAGATGGAGCAGTCTGCTTCCAGAAAGATTTATATGCTTGAAAAACTCTATGGGGCAGTTCTCTGCCCGGTCGGGTCAGGATGAGTCAGAAAGGACTCCACAGTAGTCAGTGGGAAAGGCGGTTTCTGGGTAGAATTCCCTTCTTTTGTGTTGCCAGGACATTTAATTTTTTTTAGTTAATCTGGTTTCTTTGGGGTTTTTTTGCACTTTATGCATAGTCACTATCTGTCACTGGAAGCTTATGTGTGCCATGATGCTAAGCACACGTCAGCAGAGCTTCCAGACTCAGATGAGGTCGAAGGGCCTTGCGATCTCCTTCTGAAAGTGTGCCACGGACCGTTGCGGGGCTCTCTAACTGGTCATGGGGATGGCGCAAGAACAAGTGGTATTTTGTTTTGCTGCGCGAGGGTCACCATGAGGTGGGGCCAGCTCGTAGGCCGCTAACAACAGGAACATCTCTATCTTATAGATTAATCTCGATTAATGAAACACCCTGTTCACGTCGGCACAACTAATCAATGTTAGACCCAGTATTCAAAACCCAGGGTCGGCTACAGGCCATTGTTTCTCAGGTGAGGGAAACCTGGGCATCCCTCTCCTTAAGGCGATGCTCTCCCCCCAGCTGTTCCCTCTGGCCTCCCTCATTGAATCAGCCCCATCTCCGTGCTCTCTCTCCATTAGGGGGGAAAGGATTTCTCTTCACGGTGGCCGATCTGCAGGCAGGCGTGGTTCGATATCATCACGATGACAGCGATTCCACCGAAGACTTCGTGGTCTTCAGGATATTTGACGGCCAACATAGTATCCGCCATAAGTTTCCCATCCACATCTTACCCAAAGATGATAGCCCCCCGTTCCTCGTCACCAACGTGGGGATTGAGCTGGAGGAGGGGCAGACTGTCCGGATCCAGGGCTCCGTGCTGAGAGCGTCCGACATGGACTCCAGTGATGACTACATCTTCTTCAACATCACGACGCCCCCGCGGGCGGGAGAGATCATGAAGAAGCCCGGGCCAGGACTGGTAGGTAAGTTCCATCTCCTTAAGGAGATTTTGAACAAAACGTCTTCTTGCCTTGAGAACTTTTTATGCACACTCTGGGTTTGCTAACCTGGTGTCAGAATTTGTGCTATGGGGGATATTAAATTTTGTGAGGTAAAATATGATTCATATCCCCCTTTTATTGGTGGGGAGCCTGAGGCTTAGAGGAATTAACTTGATAGGCCCAAGGTTTGTCAACAGATCTAGAAAGTGCCAGATCTGGGCCCCTCCAGGTAGCCATCACTATGAAGCGTGCAGTAGTCCAAGAAAGGGATCGAGCAACTGGGCCTGAAGGGGGATGTTTGGCCTATTCTAGATCTTGATGAAGTAATTTCATGAATACTATTTCTTTATGTGGGATTACAATCATTTAATAATCACTGTTTAAAGTAGATATTTTACTGAGTTTGCCAAGTAGGGATCAAGTCATTGGTAGTATTGTCTATTCGAAATAGGACTTTAAGTTTTTTTTCAAATTCAGTATTTATACACATGAAGACAGTTGGAACATTAAGACATTTCTGCTTTATTGTAAGTGTTTTAAAAAAGTGTTTCATAAAGAATCCTCAAGTATACCATTAAATTACACAATAGGTAGATTAGATGCCAATAAAAATGTAAAAAAAAGCAAACTGAACTAGCTGATCATCCTACGTTCTGTCTTCCTAAAACCCTTATAAATAAATTTAATTTTTCTGGAGATTTGTACACCTAAATTCTCAAAAATAAAAATGTATTCCCGAGTATATGCAACCTACTAGATAGAGAATACTTTCGGAGAGAAGTTCAATGTCAATGTTATCATCGTTGAACTTCTAGGAGAATCTTACTATGAGGTGCTTTGTCGCCCAGCAGGCTACCCTGTTCCCGGCTTCCTTCAGAGGGATCTGCTTAACGGGATCATTTACTACCGGCATTTTGGTGGCGAAATCTTTGAAGATTCTTTTGAATTGGTCCTGTGGGATAGTCATGAACCTCCAAACCTTTCAGTGCCTCAGGTAAGAGACCACCTTTGCATACGCTCCCACATTCTTGTGTGAGCTGTTACTAGCTACTACATGAGCCAATGTTGAGAGTCAGAATTTGAAAAGCCCTGGCTTCGGCAGAATTCAGTCGATTTCTTTGTAATGGGACTCCTCAAATGCTACTTTCCCAGAGAGTTGTAATGTTTTTTCCTTGTAGGTAGTGCTACCCAGATTATTTACACTGGGTGCCTGTTAGAACAACTCACAAAATCTGATCACCTCATAAACTCCAGACAACACGAATCCATTTGATAGGGAGTGGTTGACTTCAACCATGCAAGCGTAAGCTCTAGAATTAGACCCCCTGAGTTTCTCTCCTGAACATAACACTATCCAATCCTCCTGTGCCTCAGTTTCCTCCTCTGTGGAAAACATACAAAAAGTGCTGAGACTATTCTGCCCAAGGGCAAGTACTCAATACTCTTGTGTTGCTTTCATTGTTTTTGAAGAACTATTGATTTTACTACCACTTGAGGAGATCATTTAGATGTACAGAATTTGAAAATAGGTTCAAACCAACGTTCTCAGGCAGGAATTACACAAACAGAGTCCAGGTAGAATCTGGATGACTGTGAAGCCTCGTATAGGGAAGGTGGTGGGTGGCAGGAGGTGGGAAAAGTAGAGCTGACATAAGTGATCGCCTGCAATGTACAGAGCTTTTTATTAGGCACGTTCCACCTATTATCTTAGAAAGTAGCACGTGTAGGGACTCAGGAAAATCTCAAACCTGCTCTATAGGGACTGCTTACAGCATGTGTCTTATTGATTACGTAATGTCTGTTGAAAACGCCACTGTCATGGGCATTGCCCAATGCGTAGGTGATTGAGATTCATCTGTGTGCCAAGATGAAGACAGCAGAAGGGGCTGATTAGGAAGAATGATGTCAGAGAGCCCAGAGACTGCAGGAAGTGACTCACCCGTGTTACGGGTGATGAATGAGCCGATGGAGAATGCATGAGAAAGATGCCCATCTGCTGACTGACTCACAAACCCACTCCTTTCTAAGTAGCAATCCCACTTTAGATGACTCTCCCATATCTAGAGTAGATCTTTTTTAAAAAAAATCATTTTATTGGGGGCCCATACAACTCTTATCACAATCCATATATACATCAACTGTATAAAGCACATTAGTACGTTCGTTACCCTCATAATTCTCAAAACATTTGCTCTCCGCACGATGCTTATTTTAAAAAAAATCTATTCTGCTACTCTGTGGCTTTTTTTTTTAGCACATTTTTACATTCATTGCCATCATCATTCTCAAAACATTTGCTCTCCACTTAAGCCCCTGGTATCAGCTCCTCATTTTTCCCCTCCCTCTCTGCTCCCCCTCCCTCATGAGCCCTTGATAATTTATAAATTAT